GTTGTGAGCACGTTCGGTTGAGAGAAGGGCAACGATGGGTCAAGTCTCTTTTTATCATCACAATCAACACTGGCTGTTGGTAATCAAAAGGCACAGCATAGGCACAGCCAAGGTATGTCAGGACATCGACTGTATTCATCCTAATTAGAAATAATGACTGACAGCTTGAGGCTACATCTCACAGTGTGCTGATTTTATGGATGTGCTACTTTATCTCTGGATATAAGATGTTTGCCTTTTTAACTACGGTAATACTGCAGCACGTTTTAATGGCTGTTTAGACCTCAAAGCCATTCCTCTCAACATGCTGTGTCAGTATTCAAATACGTTTTCAGATTTTACACCCCCTGCAGTGTCGAGGTACTAGCAACATCATTATACATCCGAGCGATAGAATTACATCAAAAACAGAGTATTTTGTTTTTGTAAACATTTTAACAGATGTTCCATTTCACCAAAAGCTCCGTATGAAATATCAGAACATTTTATGTTCCCTTTGTTTTTTATGAAAAACATTATTAGGACTAGACGGAATATTTAAGTTACACTATACAGTCCATGTAAGTCAGAAACTGTATTATTTGGATATATTAAGGCTGTAGAGGAATTTGTTCGGAAAAGTTTAATACTTAAAAAAATACTATAGCAAAAGTTGAAAGTAGCAGAGGCTATATTTTGTTCTTACATTTTCATTTCTGCATCTCAAAAGCAGAATGATTTGACCTGAAAAGAGCACAGATGCCTATATTGCGGTCAAACAGTGCTTCATAGAGTGTGTCTCCGTCATACTCTGTTTCACACCAACTGCACAACCTGCTGCGGGGCTGACGCCTGAGGCAAATAAACGAAAACATGACAGAAACGGCGTGAGCCAAAACTGCTCAAAAACAAGTTTCCATGCTATCGCAGACCTCGATGACGGTGTGTCTGTGGGTGGGTGTCACCTGGCTGTGAGCACAAAGGCAGCAGTGGAGAGTGTATCATCTGAATGTAGAGTGGCCAAGAAGGCCATATGCACGGGCTGAGGGGGGCTGAGCTAGAAGAGCTCTGGTCCTGTGGTCTACTGCCTCGGCCAAACTGCCAGGCCATATGGAGATGAATAATGTTTGTTTTTTGAAAGAAAGTCTCTAAATCAATGGTCATGGTTCTGTGGAGAATTAATAACTTGAATTTGAATTCTGTGTTTGGTCTGTAATCTTACTTATTCAGGACGTCACACTGATGCTACTGAAAAGTATATGGCACAAACAAACCACTAACATTAGGCTCAAGAAATTAATGATATGTGTAACAACAATAATATGAAAATGCTATGTTCAATATAATTGTACATACAGTTTATCTAATGCCATACAGATACAGTAGCTAGAGAGTGCAGTTCAAACACTGGCTAGTTTCTCTGCTAGATTTCAGATTCTCTGTTTAAGGTAATTTGTGACACAGCCCCCTTTATCCAATATCAGAGAGGTATTTTCGTGTGTGTGTGTGGGGGGGGGGGGTCTAGCAAAAATCGTCCTTTAGTGAAGAATAAGGTCAGGACATTATCAAGGTCACCTGGCTTTACAAAACCCAAGTATTTCACTGAGCTCACACCGAAATGTAAGGTTACATCTAGTAAATGCTTAATTTTAAAGTTTGGGAGCACTGACCTTTAATATCTGCCACAGGCTCAAACTGTTCTAAGGTCTGACATCAAAACATGCAGAATAGCATTGCATCACATTCTGGGGTTTCAGATGTTGTTGCTTTTGTTGTTGTTTTTATTATTATGTATAGACATGAATTATCAACGCATTGTATAGACATACTTGAAACGAGTAAAACAGAGTGTCAAGATCTGTAAAATGTTCTCGAAATATAAGCCAGGATATAAATAAAAGCTCACTTGAAATTTTGGGCAAATGAGAGTGTTCCCTTATCCAACAGTCAAATTTAAAATAACAAAAAAGGCAAGTGTTACTGTCGACCTCTACTGTGTCCTGTTTCATACCGTTTTATGAAAAGGGAAAAACAACGGCACAAGCCAGAAGGGAAAAGAGGCTGATTGTATTGTCATTATGTTCAGCAATGCACAGTAATCATCTTTGCAGGCCAGTTGAACTGGTTAGGATACCGCATGATAATAAGTGGCCCATTAGGAGCATTGGCGAGAGGCACCACACTGCGCTGCTGTGATAGACTGAATAATCAAGGCGCCCGCTCTGGCAGTAATGGAAGCTCAGCTGCACCGGGAAAATAGTCCATTCTGAATGACATTGTTTGTGTGTGTGTGTGTGTGTGTGTGTGTGTGTGTGTG